TTTTTGTTTTATTACAAAACTAAAACACAAAATTATTCAATCGTGTTTATATTAAACTTAAATTTTTAGATTTAAAAGACATATGATACATTTATAAAAATATATTATTATGTATAGAAATTCAATATTCATGACATAAAATATCAAACGTTATCTCAAGCTTTTCAAAATTAATAGCTTTAACTCTTTCTCCAGAGGTCGGCAATAGGCGGTCTACGAGCCAAATCCGACCATTGGTGAGAAAATAACTGAGCCACCAAAAATATTTTTTTTAATGCTGGTTTCGGCATATTATAGATATTTGATCTATTTTTATGATGTATTAGGAGATCATAACAGCATTCATTGTTTATTGCTGTTTATAATAATAGTTACGCTAACTTATCAATTTTATGAACTAATATTTTAGTTATTTTTGCCTTCGAAAATTTTTTTTAAATTACCTATTTTAAATTTAGAATTGTTATTTGCATAATTTTTTAATCAATTTTGATTTCATTGCAATATAAATAATATATTTATCGAATAATAATAATTTTTATATTGTTTTACTAGTTTAATAGAAAAATATAATCTATAAATAATACTTATAATAAAACTAATATCATAGGTTAAATAATACCATTAGTTAATATTTATATTGAAGATTAAGCTTTTTATATACTAGCAGGTTTATTTTCAATGTATAAAATTACGCTACAAAGGCTGAGTATTACAAGTGGTTACTAAATTGACGGGAGACTTACAATTTGGCGTGTATTAAGTCAAATCTTCTGTCGAATTATGTTATCCTTGATGTAGGAAATTGGTATATATTATGTTTATTTTCGAGCAAAATTTAGTGAGCAAACTGATTCATCTATGAATAAAAATCGGGATCATTAATGATAATATAATTTTTAAGTTTTTGATACATGAATTGTGTATTACTTCATAATCTTTTATATACACAAGAAAATTATCAAAATGGCATTATTTTGTATAGATTTTGTATAAATAGTAAATACGCCTGTTTTAAATAAAAAATAATTATAATTTTATATATGTATAGCATATAATGTAAGGTAAATACATTTTTATAGGTAGGTAAATTAAAAAACATTGTGATTAGATGTAAGTTAATAAACAATTTAAAATATATTAAAAATAAATTATTTTTGAATTACAATTTATTGAATTTTGTTTGGATACATAGTTTTAGTTATTTAATTTATATAATTTTAATTGAAATTGTAAATAGGTGTTGTATTTGAGAATGAAGTTTAGACTATATTTTTGAACACATACTGACTTTATCAATGGAATAATTAGATAAACTCTTTTAGTTAAATTAATTACTCAGAATTATTTAATGACATATTTTATCATAAATAAAATATAATATGCAAATGTTTGTCTCAATCTAAACTCTATTTATTGAAATTGAATTAATATATTCATTAATTCATATGTCATAATTATACTTGGTTATTAATTTTTATCATTAATTACAATGATTTCTTTAAAAATTTATCAACAGCGGCTTAATTAATCAATTTCATATGGAATTTCTTTTCTTTGTTTTTGTCTTCTTTTCACTATCTCTCTATTACTCTCTAACTGTGCTTTTCTATTTTATGTACTTAATTCATGTGTCTACACCAGAGAATACTTTTTCATCTTTATTGTTGTGATATTGAAATCTAAAGTGCTTGTAGACGTCTCTAAGGAAGAAATAATATTATGTGTTTCTGAGATAGTTGTTGATGATAATTTCGTCTGATCATATGAAAATAAAATAGTATTGTTGTATATTTCTTAGTTAATATAATATATTAGGTAGCTACTTATAAGCTATATGTACTGCCTAATTAATGCGGCACATTAACGTGTGACATGATATATTTGGAGTTTAAATATATAACCTGAAATTTTCTTGAAAAAGCCATAGTTAAGTTTTATAAATTATTAAAACATTTTTGTATGTGTTAAAAATATATCCAATAAATTCAAAATAGAAATAAAATCATTCTTTAGTATTTCAAAGTTGTTAACATTTTTTTGGCAATGACTTATTAACGATATAATTGTTCTTAGTTTTCTAAAATTTTGTGTCGTTATCTCGTAACTACTCATGAATTTAACAATAGGTTTTGTGACGAATAAAAGGCTTAGGGCTTAGGGCTTTTGAAAAAAATATTATTTTTTCAGAGATAAAAACATATCTATTTGGAGAAACAATTTTTTTTTACCTCAACAAAGAAACAAAAAAAGTGACGAAGATTTTGACAAATTATATTTTAATAGGTTGTTACAAAACATAGTTTTGACTATAATATTAAAGAATGATTATTTTGTTCGAAATATCACATCGACTCCGTTATTTTGGAAAATGGTAATAGGCACGATACTTAGATAACGATACGACGGTCGACACAGAACTGATTGTAGGTATTAATTATATTTGTTATGTATTTGTAAAGAATAAAATAATGTTAAAACACACTGTTAACATAAGTCTATATAAATATAATTCAGGTTTAATATTATATGCTGTATACACATAATTTTATTATCTAGTTACTAAAAGTAAATCTCAAATGCTCGTAAATTATTTATTGTCGTAGATGTAGCCTTTGTGATAATTATTAAAGATAATATGCTCACTAAGTTATCGTTAAGACTAATAATGACACAACTTTGTTTTCAATTTTTTATAGTTGTAATTAATATTATTACTTTCATAGTTTCGCATTATTTGTACACAATTAAATCAATGCCTTAACATTAGTTTCTGTTTTACTTATTAAAGTATTGGGCAGAGGGATTACTATAGAAATAGAATTACCATTATATAGTAAATAAATATTAAACTGTTATTAATACTATGTTTTTGATTTATTTAATTATTATATTATCATACAAAATACAAGTGTACGAAATTATAAGATAGGTGGTGGGTTGTTATAATATTATATTTATATCATTCATTGCTTGAAATAATTACGACACTAGATAGTTTTGAATTATTTTTAATTACCTACTATAATATACTCTTTATTTATACGTTTAAAACCGTGAAATTTGTTTTATTTTAATAGTATCACTGACATTTTATTTTTAAATAACCAGCAGTGGCCATTGGGAGATTCATATTATTTTTATATTTGTATTATATTAATTATTTAAAAATAGACTCACTGTTAACAAATACATATACGAAAATCTATAAACAACTTTGAACAGTTATAAGATATTAAAATTGATTGAGTAAATTTGCGGAAAGGATGAATTTTATGGAGACAGGGATAGAATCGGGTTCCTAACTGAGTATTTTGATCTGTAGTTCTGGAAATTAAGAATTTTCTCTTTCTTATTACTGATTACATATTATTATAAGTCAGTAATAAGAAATTGTCGTAATTGTAGTAGGTATTATTTAAACTCTTTGCTTAATAGCTTACGTAATGATATTAAATCGACTTGAATATATTGAGACATAAACATTACCAATATTATTAAAAATAATAATAGATACCTACCCAAATTTTATTAATATATTTTATGTTCACTGAATAAAAAAAAATAGTCCCATAATTTTTCAATAAGACAATTGTTTAAAAACGAATACATTATTTTATAAAGTATGTATTATCGTAACCAATTATTAAAATTAAGACATTTATCTGTTCTTCAAATGTAAATGTTGAATATAGAATTACTTATTAGTAGAGATATTTCAGTATTTAATCATTGTAATTTATTTGATTAAATGTTACAAACAACAACAGATGGAAATGAAAAATTTGAAGACTGAAATGTATAATACCTTAATTATCGCAGTCTCACTTATTCGATCAATGTGGCATAAATTATAACAAACTAAATAGTTTTTTTTAAAGGAAAAGTCGTTAATACAAGTTTATTAAGCCTATTTATTTTGATTAGAACAAATTAAAATTGAATTTTCGTGATGATTATTAGTATTTCCATTAACAGACGACAGATCATTAATTTTGTAAGAATTGTGAAACACAGTGTTGAATTTATAATAGAAGATGATAGTATAATTTTTTTTTCTCGGAACTGAAGTTGATGAATATCAATTTTACTTGTAAGTAAAACATTGCAGAAGTTTTTTCTTCTCATTTTTGTACTTTTATTGACAGAACTTAGTTGATCATTATTAAAGCAACACTCTAGAGAAATAGAGATTATAAAGAAAATTAGTTTTTTTGATAAATGATTTTAATATATTGCGAAGTTAACACAATAGAAAAATGTTGAAAGAGTAAATTATAAAAAGCTTTGTAACTTTATCTTAAAAATATGTAATGAAAAGTTTTACATTTTAAATTGTAAAATCAATGTTATTTTTATTAGGTTAAATTCGTTAAAATAATATTGGATAATTTTTAATTGAATTTACTATTAATTTACAAAAATTCATATAATTTAATTGAAATATATTATTTTTAATATTTATTTTTCATGTATTGCAATACAATTATTTGAATTAAATAAAACGTCAATAACAGTTATTATAATATTTATGATATAATTTAAGTATATACTTACCTAATTTACAGATACAAGTTTGATATTTTCATCCTTAACATTTATTAAATTACACCGATATTCATAACTCGGAAGTTTGATAGTAACCAATATTTTACGAGTTCACAACATACTCAAAGGGTGGCAATTCTAAAGACGTCGATATCATCGAAAAATATAAGTGGCACAATATCGTGTTTAATGCGTTACTGGTTAACCCGTAGGATATTTGTATATGTTCAAACACTGTCTAAAACGTGTTTTAGTTTTTGTTATGTAAATATAAACATTTTTTCTTTTTAAACTAAGTTTGATAAATCTTCATCGTAGTAATTTATCAACGTCGTTTAACAGACATTTATGAAAATTTGGGAACACATGTTATTTCATTAGAACACGTGCTTATATTAAACGTATTGCCATTCAAGTGTAATTAACGAGAAATCGTAATCTATATTTTACAGATAACAGATTGAATGCGGTGAACTAATTTTGAGGAACATTTTATGACGACAGTTGAGGACTGTTAATTGTGTGTACGCGTGCGCGTACTTACGTTTGTGTAGTCTGCTGCTTGTGTCGCGTGTATAGATTCGGTTTGGACGGTGATCACTGTACTTTCTCGGGAGCAATAATTGCCGCCGATTTCGCTGCCAGCGCCGCCACTGCAATCACTGTCGCCACCGTCGCCACCGTCGCCACCACCAACCTTTGTCATGGAAGTGATGGACTCGAACGCAAACACCGTATTGCACTCGGTCACCAAAGGCGGGCATTTCGGTCCGCCACCTGTTGTCACCTGGTCTGGCATGGACAACGTGACCAATGCGTCCATGTTCGATGAGTCGAATCTCCCATACGACATGAAGTTCAACGAGGGCCACGTGGTCGCCATAATCACTTACAGCATACTCATGGTCGTCTCGGCCATAGGTAACATCACGGTGCTGACGATCATCCTGAAACGAAGGCGCAAGGCAGGCACGAGGATACACGCGATGCTCACGCACCTGGCCATCGCTGATCTGTTGGTAAGAGACCTCCTTGCGATCTATTGGTCGTTCGCGGATTTTACGAAATTTAAATCTGCTTTATTCCCTCTTGTCTCTCCTCTTTCGCTGAAAGGATAATGAGTTTAATTATTTATTGAAATATTATTTTATTGTTTATTTAAATTTTAAAGATCGTATGCTATCGAGAGAGCGACATTTAAATGTATTGTTTTGACCAAAACTATACGATAAAAAAAAAAAAAAGACACAATTGTATTACGGGCTTATACTACGTTTAAAATACATATTATTCATGAATGAGAAGAACTTGGAATACCTACGAGTAAGCCTATCAGGAGTTTGGTATACCTACGCGGATATCTAAAAATATCAGTCATCTGTTTTATTTGTTTTACAGTTAAATATAAGACTCTATAATCGACAATGTCTAAAAAGAAATCATTTTATTATTGAAAAGGGGGTTTTAGATTCCCCAAAAATCAAGGATTGTTATATGTTACATAATATTTGTGTTTGCGTATTGTTAGAAATTGTGATTATACCTAATATTTATGTATTGAAAATACGTTTTGTAGAAATAAAATGTTTATCTTTCAAATAGTTTATTTATGAAAATAAATTCAAGATAATAAAACAAATTTTTAAAACATTTCTATGAAAATAATCACAAAAAGAATCAATTTGTTTATAAAATTTTGGAATAAGTATTTAGTTGATCGGGAGATTATTTTTATACTTAACTACCTACTTAAGTACTTGATAATAATAATATTTTACTGCATGAAAAAAATATATTTGTAATTAAATATTTCAGAGTACATTTATTTTAAAACTTGCTATTTAATATATTATAATACTATCTACACTAAATTATGTCTGTGTTATCATTATGTTTAACAATAAAAGTACTCTATATAATAAGTACTATTAAGCATTAAAATAATTCATAAATTTATAATAAAATAAGAAATACTTTGACAATTGACAAGTATAAAACTAATTCAATTCATTTTTGATAATACGAAATAAAATACATTTATAGGAATTTGCCTTTTGAATTATTATTAACTAATATGAATCATGCATAACTCAATATAAATATTAATTATATTAACTATTAAGATACATAGAAATACAAGTGTAAAATATAGGTTTTATTCAATAAAAATAACTTACATATGTATATATATATTATTAACATATTTGAATTTAATCTGCTGATTTATGGCAAAATTTTAATAGCATTAAAATTTATTGAAATTAATTTTATGTAGTTTTAATCATAAAATACTATTCTGTATACTGTTCTTAAATACCTTGCTATTCATCGTAATAATTTATAATGTGTTTTAAAATTAATTCCAATTAATTTGTATGCTTGTTTTTTTTTTTTTTATATATATTTTAGGTAACTTTTTTGATGATGCCGTTGGAAATAACGTGGGCATGGACTGTGCAATGGGTTCTTGGTGATCCATTATGTCGAATCATGTCATTTTTCCGAATATTTGGATTATATCTTTCCAGTTTCATTTTGATATGTATCAGCGTTGATAGGTATGTAGATTTTTTTAGTTTCAAAATTTATATATTTTGTTGAAGTTAGATGAAGTATATTAAGTATTGCGCATGTAATAAAAATAATATAATTCAATTTTTAAGAAATATTGTTTAACTGTCGAAAAATAATATAAAAATACATATATCAGAATGCACGATTGTGTGACAAAATATTAAGTCGAGTCTCAGTCCTATGCTTTAAAGTCAATTTTTGAAATCTTCTTAAGATTAGGTTTATGAAAAACGGTATATTTGAATATTCCATTCGAATTTTCTAAATGTTTATAAAACTTATGTATTTACATAAATAAATACATAATTTTTTTTTACCTTTATGATTAATGTGACGTGCGTTCATAATAAATAACAGTTATCTGATTAAATATCATTTTTATATATTTTGAAGCTTAATATAAAAACAGAAATCTATAATGAATTTTTTCCTGACTTAATCTTTCATTTTTAAGTGCTGCTATTTTTAGTAGAAATTTCAAGTATTTTGTTTCTTTGATTTCATAAATTATGTCATTATAATTATGAAACAAAAAAATAAATATTTATTTTTAAGCAATTTTTAAAAATCTATCTAAAATTTTTATAAAATAGTAATAAACATTTTATTATTTATTTATTTATTTTGTTAATTTTATAGGTGGAAATTAAATTAAATATAAAATAAAAACAATCGACAATAATTAAAAATAACAGACAAAAAGGACTAAACAATTATTGGATAAATTATACAAAATTATATTTATTTTGTTTTTACGTAAATATTAATCTTAACCATTAGTTAATTTTATTTCCTAGATATTTATGATGGCATAATAACTATATTTATAAGAGTTGAAATAATTCAGACACTGTATATATATTTAATATAGCATATATAAATGTATTTGTATCTTTTTAAGAAAACTATTTGTTGTTTTTTCTTAAAATTGATATTATAGATCACATTGAAGATAAATTTTAAATATTCCAAATTATCTTGTTTGCTTCTAACTTAATATTCATTAGTATATTTTTCTAATGTTAGGAAATTTTTTTAATTTAATTATTAACATACCTAGTAAATAGTAAAGTTAACAAAACAAACATATTTTTGATATTTTATTATTTAAAATATTGATATTTAATATATATAATATTAAGTTATATTAATACGTTTTTTAAACTGCAAAAATATTATAAGATTTAAAATATAAGTGTATATGTATATGAACAGCATGTAATTACGTGACATCTAAATATTAAACTTTGGTAATTTTCGTCACAACAGAAAACGAAATCGTATATGTAATTTGTGCCACATTTTCAATTTAAACTTGTTAGAATTGAACTTAATAAATTTATCAAACTCAAATTAGTTATAATACATAAAATTCAAATAAATAACGTAAACTGTTAATAATATGTACAATTAGATAATAGATTATAATGTTTCTGATTTTATATATTGAATTATTATAATAAAATATTTCTAATTTATAAACAAAATAGGTGTATTTAACAATTTTAATATTTTTTTAAAAATATATTTAATAAAATGAAATTTATTTATTAATAATTTAATAAACATAGTAATAAATAAAAAAAAAAATTCTTACTATTTTGAAATGGTGAAAATTACAATTTTTGTTGGTAAAAATTTCACAGATTATATAATGTCTTTTTATCCGGTTTTATTTATTACGCCTGCACCCGAGTTCCGGTCAACTATAAAAAGAATGATATGAATGTATGATTTGATTTCAATGATATATTATTATCTACAAAGAACGATTTTGAGCATAGATGGTCAATTAGTCTATATCACTATGTGTATTTTATGATAATAAATTATGTTTTTTGATATTGATATTGAAGTATTTTATTTTATTACCAGTATTTTAGTAGTTTAATTTTTTTTTTTTCATAAAGAATTAAAAAAAAAATAAAAATATTAATGCTTGAAATGTATTCAAAAATTTTAAGATAACAAAATGTATTATACTTTTTATAATATGTTAAAGTTTTGATAATTAAGTATACGCAAGTATATTTAAAATAGTTAATAAAGACAATAGAAAAATAATTTTATGTATCAGAAAAAAAAGAAACTGTATTAAAAAAATAAACCATAGCACGTTATAGAACTGAAGGAAATAATTTTTAGTTAACCTACTTTTTATTAAAAATGGAATAAATAAATAAATAAAAAGATTTTTGGAATGAAATTCGGTTGTTATTAACAAGATATATTTATGTGTATAATTAGAAAAATGTTGACCACAATAAGTTGTAAATATTAATTAATAAGATTTTTTTTTCTATCAATTATGTAGTACCGGTTGAAATATGACTATCAATCAATAATTATAAATGATAATTTTTTAGTTTTTATTAATTATAGTCTTTTGAATAGGCATGAAACATAAATTAAGAGTTTATTTGCCAGTCAAGATAATTTCGAATCTTTTGTAGAAGTATTAATAATGGATTTAATAGGTGTGAGAAATTAGGCACATTACATATATGTTTAATTGCCATTAAATACAATCTAATACATTACATATTATTAGTCTTAAAATTATATTTTATAGGTTTATTATGAACATTGGAGAGTAAATATTTTTTTCGTTTATGTCCTTATTATAATTTAAGGTTTATATCCAAGCTATATACATTTAATATGTTGTAGTTAATAAAATTTCAGGGCACCAACTTATAATATATATTTTTATAATCATAAAGTACTTAACAAATTTTAACCAAAATCCACAAAGTAGTGAAGTATAAAATATGTTAAATATAAAAAAAATTTACTTAAAAAGAAAGAAGAAAAATACTGACATAAAGTTATATTGATGGCATACAATTTAAATTGCACTACATATTAAAACTAGTGAAGTCAGCTATTTGATATTAGTTTATTACTATATAGCTCTAAAAATGTTAGTATCACGAATAAATTATAAAATATTCAAGTTATGATTTGTATAAAATAAATCATTTAAGAATAAGTTGAATTAAAAAGAGGGTAAAGATAAACATCGGAAATAACTTTTAGTTTCGGAGATATTGTTACACAAAAAATGTAAATTGTTAAATAATTAATTTTAGTTTAAAATGTTTAAATCATACAAAACTAATATTTCTAATCTATATAAAAAAATAACTAGTTGAAGAAATAGTTTGGTAGTTAATGAAATTTAATAAGCTGAATGAAATTAAATATTTTAAACATAGTAAACAAAGAAAATAATTAATAAATAATATATTAAATAATATATATTCGTAAAAATTATTATTTTGTAATCAATATTCTAATCCATATTGTATTATCAATATAATTTTTAGGTACTTAGCTGTTTTGCAGCCAATGCGTTTATACCAGATGGATCGCAGGGGAAAGTTAATGATTGCAGTGGCTTGGATTGCATCAGTAATTTGTAGCTTACCGCAGGTAATTGTTGTTTAATAATAAGGTTATTGACAACACCCATTTTTGTTCATAATTTACCATATACTTCCAATTTCGGTACATTTGTAAATAAAGCATAATATATAACAGAATTTGATTTGTTATTTAAATAATTTTAAACAAAATATTTTTCAATGAGCATTAGTGAAAATTATTTAACATTATAATATTTAGAACTATTTTAATTATAATCTTCGATAATCAGACTAAGGATTGGAGATGTTTTATTTTACTTCATTTAAAAATTAAATTAACATAATATTATTTCTGGGAAAATATTTATCCACATTTATGAGATAATCTCCCATTGAACTTTGAACAAAGTTAAACATTCAATTTATTAATAAAATCAAAATGTTTGCTTTATTTACACCGTAGACTTATATATTTCACGTGGAACGACACCCTAATGCCACATGGTACGAACAGTGCGTCACTTATAACGCTTTTTCGTCCAAATTGCACGAGCTGGCTTACTTATATTTCGGCATGTTCATGATGTACTGGTTGCCTCTAATCGTTATACTATTCTGCTACGCTTCCATCATCATTGAAATATATAGAAGGTCCAGGGAATCGATTTGCGGTCAAGGTAAGTTGTAGGAATAGTTAAAAAACACGGGTTTTGAGAGAGGAAGCTACTGGTTTCAAATTTAAGATAGATAAAAAATGGGTCATTATTCTAAAGAAAACATTTTTTTTTTTAATTTTAATTATACGTCATTCCTGATTAGTTCATTTTCTATGAGAAAAATCGAACACATATGAGATTTAATATAGAAGTGTTTTTTAAAAACCTTGTTGGTTCCGTGTAATTAATTTTAAACAAATATTAAACATTTTCAGAATAATTAAATTTATTATCCCTTTGAATTTATTCAAATTTAAAGATATTGTTCTCTATTCAACTCCAACAATCCGTTCAAATTTTTTAGTATTTACATGTAATTTTTTTCAAAACACATTTTTATGTTTTCAATGTTTGATTTAAGTATAAATTGTTTTTAAAAATTAAAAAATTAAACATCTTATTAAATTATTATGATAATTTATAGTATTTATAATTTTTTTTCTAGATATATTTTATTTTAGCTAGAGAGTTTAACAAATTAAATATAAACGTTGTACTATAATAAAGTCTTAATAATCTGATATACATTTTTTTTGAAAAAAAAATAATAAATATAAGGATTTTTATTAAACTATTTGAAATATTTCCTATAAATTTGTAAAGGTAGGTTATAAAATGAACTATAGATTATGTAAATACGGAAATTGAAATGCAAATTTTAGTTTGTATTTTTAATAAAAAATATATAAATATAAAACTTATATATATATATATATATATATATATATATATATATATATATA